TTTTGGAGTGGCGAACGAGGCAGTCGTGACGGATGGCGGTGATGTTGCCGGCGGAGGGGGAGGGGGAGGGGGAGGGGGAGGAGGGAAGATGAACCGCGCGCGAAAGTTTTAATTGAAAGAGTTACACGAATTTTCGTCGCGAGGGGAAAGTTGCGAGGGGTAACACTTAACGCGTATTGACTCATTAACCGTTGCGCCGCGTCGTTATTCCCGATTTTTGTTTTTTTCCCCGACTGCCGGAACTGGTACGCACGCGTCCGCGTACGAGTGCCTGCTCCAATTCTCTCCTGTCTTTTTTTTCCCCCGCGGCATATTGGTACTTTCGACTTGACCAGGGATTTAGCGGCAACGTGAATTCGATTTTCGATCTCGTTGCACGTTCTAATGGATACTATTTTTCTTCTTTTTTCTGTTTTTTTTTTCTTTTTTTTTTTTTTTCCGAGATCTGAAGTATTTTGTACTTTCCGCAGTGCGACAAGTGTGTACCACGTGTTTTAACAATTTTGCGATGAAAATGAGTACCGCATATTCAAAAATGAATAGCCTATCGGTACTAGAAAAAGTAGTGTGTGTATGCTATAGTGATAATCTTGTAATCTTTTTTACTATCAAATATCGATGGAAGAAAAGTAGTGGAAAAGTTTCTATTTTCGATTCATGCTGTTTTCAGTGGAAAACTTATATCGGCCTTCTGATTATTCTATGGTTGTTACAATACCAAAGAAAGATTAGAAATAATTTATATGGACTTTTCAGAATCCTTTTCCGGATGATTCCCTTTCACAGTATTCTGTCAAAATGTATTGTACCTGTTTAGAAAAATATGTAAATTTACGAATTCGTTGTCGAAGATGCAATTAAATTTCGGAGCCGCGTAAAGGCTGCTACTCGTTACAATTTAAATTTATACATATAATTAACAATTTCGAGTCACAAATAAATCGAATTACAAATTAATACAGTTTAAATAACCTTGTGTAATTAACTCTTTGTACTGTGATTGCGTTTACACTTCACTTGGCATCACCAAGTATAATCCATGTTACAACGAACAACTCTGATTATTCATGCAGGGTATAAAATATTTTACAAACAGTATAAAGTATTTTCCTTTTCATTTCAAAAGTATAAAAGATTTTCCTTTTCACTTTCTAATACTTACTTTTACTTCAATAAATCGAATTGTCGTTCTCATTCCTTTAAATCAAATGGCATTGTAATATTTTTTTATTTTCTCAAAGCACCAGAGATGTTTTATTTTCTTACTAGTCTACAACTAGATTGCTGGATTTATGTAGATTTAAGATATTCCAAATTTCAAGAATGTAGCACATAACGTATATAAAATATTCAGAGTGGAACATCCATCATGATATTTGGATAGATAAAACAAATTTCTGTACATTTATAGAAAATGCGCGCACTATGCAAAAATATAAAAAGTTATTTAAAATAGATATGTTATAATATTTTACAATATTCAGTAAGCGAAAGAAATGTATATTTAGGGTTGTATTTTTTCATAAAAATATAAATTCTACACGTCTGTAAGCGCGCACTCTGCAAAAATATAAAAAGTTATTTTTAAAATAGATATGTTATAACATTTTATTTACAATATTCAGTAAGCGAAAGAAATGTATACTTAGGTCCTATTGTTTCATAAAAATATAAATTCTACACGTCTATAAGCGATCTATTTATAAATATATACAAAAATTCAGTAAATGTCCGTGGTCTGTACAAAACGAATACATTTCAATTAGACAAACTTCGTTGCAACTGGATTTTAGATTTTTCCGCGGCAATTTATAAAGTGAGAGAACGTCGCAAAATTCGCTGGTATTCGCTTGACGACACGCAAATCGCAGAAATCGACGATAATCAATGACGAACTTGTCGGATGGGCGCTTATCGCGACACTTTTTCTTCTCCTCGGTTAGATTAGACCTGTGTATCTTGCACGAAAGATAATCCACGGATCGCGTTTCTACGGAGCTCGATCGAGCACGTGCTCGATTCAAGAACTCTTCGTGACTAGGCGCATCGACGTGGAATTACATTCGTTTCGTACGTTGTTCAAATTTTCATGTGCGCGAGGTTCTCGATTTTTCAGAAATAGACGGCGGATTTTCGTGCATTTCGTGGACAATTGGTAGTTGCAGAAGTGCATAGGATACGTGGAAATATATGAAATGTCTAGAATTAAGCATTTAGGTTCCATTTCTGTAGTTCTGTTCGTCAAAGGGTGCACAGAAATTCGCAGTCTGTCAGTAAATAATCCTTTATTTTTTTTGATTTCATTCTTGGTTTTGGGTTTTGTGAATTAAACAATATATTTAACTCTAAATTAAAAGCCGTAATAATCTTATGATGACTTTTGTTGAATTTTGCAATTTTATTACTAACATGTGCCCTAAATTTTAGTTAGTATAACATGAATTTTTCTACGCAATGTACAACCGAACGATACCAACGTAAAAAATTTACAAAAAGTATAGCAGGACAGACATACATTCTTTCCTGAATAAAACAATATTTCTCACACGTTTTCTCGCGAACGTTCTAATTCTGCGTTAGGATTATTACGACGTATGAATATTATAGTTGTACAGAAGGTTAAGAATACGGAACTCGAGAATATTTTTAACAATATATAGATGCTAGTTTATTAACATACAATCGCGTAAAGAAAGTGGAAGATTTTAATGATTTAATTATTCGCAAATAATGTCTTCGTTCGCTTGTTAATTCACCCACGGATATAATTTTCCATATTCCAATTGAAACGTAATAATTTTAAAATGTCGCGTGACACTATTCATATCGAAATTATTCACCACACTATTTATTGCATTGTCTGTTGTTGAAAACTATTCACCAACTAACAGTACGAACATAGAAAATAAAATGAAACGTATCGTACGTACGTGTGTTTGAAACCATTGTCGCTCGTATTTTTCTGCCAATTCATTAATAGTTGAAGCTACAGACGCGTTAAAAGTGGTGTCGATCGTAATCGGGCGTTATTTTATTATTATATTTGCATATTTTCGATTCGTTCCCCGGATATCTATCCTAATTATTCGTGCCTGGGGTAATTGACGCGGAAATGTAATTTTGAGGGTGGTTGTGCAGATAGGGTGACCGAAACATCGTTAAAATCCGCGATTAATTGCATATGTTGTGGCGACGGGGTTCAGGAAAATGTTTTGGGACGGAACGAAAGAAACGAGAAAACATCGACCAAAACAAAAAGAAAAAAAAAAAAGAAAGAAACAGAAAGAAAAAAGAAGGGAAAGAAAAATACTGTTCTTCGACAAAACATGTTTTCCCCAATATTTTCTTGTTTCTACTATTTCCCGGTCTGCAATTCACTCCTACCATTGACTACCGCTTTTTGTTTCGTCCATCACTTCACTACCACGAATTTCTTTTTAAAAACACGATTCTTTTGCTTGACTGAAGATTGCTCCATTTTTCATCCCTTTCATCTTTGATCCCCATTTAATCACTTATCTCGTTGAAAGCACTTTAAGCAATTTTTTATTAATCGTTTCCATAATTAGCGGAACCGTAATAGCGTACATTTAAGATCCATTTTCTTCTTCCTCTCTTTCTTTTTTTCTTTTCTATGGTTAACCTTTAACGGACCGGTCAGCTACCATTGAAGGCCCCCGTACGAGTCTTCAAATTCTTCATAACGTGTTCAGTACCATTCGAAAGTCTCAGAATGGTTTTTACTTTTAGTATTCCGTATTTGTCGGGGATATAATAAGATTCTTTAATTTCACGTGCATTTCATGACACAATTGTCAACGCGTATTGACAGGTTGTGGATTTTTTGTTACAAAAAGTATCGTTCTGTTTGATATCGGGGGAAAACGGGATAGGTAGGAAGACACACAATATTAGTGTAATTATTTTATTCGTTACGTTACTTTTAAATATACATGCGTCACATTCAAATATATGCGTTGCTTTTAAATATATGTTCAAATTCAAAATAACGGGCCCTTCAAAGGCTAAAAAAAAAAAAAAGAAAAAAAAAGGAGATATGTGATATTTCAACCGCGGTGAAAAACGCGATCGGCCGAAAAGCGCGGAATAATTTTTCGAGAAAAAGTCGCTTTTATCTCTGCAGGTGTATATTACCGGGGGCCGGGCTGGAAATAAAATTCGTGGAAAACGATCGCGAGGCCAGGCCTTCTGGATATATTCAACACTGCGAACTCCATTAGCCGATCGATCGTCCAGTTGCATAAATTAATTCCAGCGATGCCGGCCGTATTTAGCTCCAAAAACCATACACCCGTGCCTTCGCAACGCTGTAACA